TATTTGAAACTCTATAAGCGCTTATCTCGTAGATTTTCGGAATCGAATGCTCTAATACCAATTTTGTAAAAACAGAACCGATTTTTTTACATATATTAGGGCAAACAAATATTTCATTTCACCAATCTCAAATTAAAGTAATACAACACCACAAAACTCACACGAAAACATAAAAGATGAGCACCTACACTTCAAGAGGTAAATGATCTCTCCCAAATCCTACAATTCTAGAGGTAGGAAATATCTCTCAAAGTCTAATCCTAAAATTCAAGACAACAATCTAATGCATACCCTAATCCTAAACATATTAGCCCTATTTATACCCCATAATAATAAATACTAAAAGATTAAATTTCCCTTATATTAATAAAGGAGTAAATGTGCTTAAGAGCCGCCATAACAGCCACATCAATGGAAGTTTCATGAAAGAAATTGCCAATCAAATTTTAAGAAACACATGAATAACGTAGTATACAAATTTGGTAGAACTTAGCTCGTAAATGTTAAAAATTATTTGGAGAATGTTTCACTACTATATCACTGGCTTATTGTTATTTTTGAATGCTATAAGTTGAAGAGTAGCCTTTGCGCTTGTGCTCATAGCGAAGTCAACCATCAATCTATTCATATAATAATACAAATTAAATTTAATCACTAAATTGATTGACTAATTCTCAACATATTGATATTTGAAATTAAGATAATATCATGCAGCATACATATATCAATGAAGCTAATAATCCCACTTATCAATTATTTCCAAAATTACTTTATAGCAAAATTCCTCCTCTCTAAATTTTGTGCTATCAGCTCCTTCATTAATATTGTGCATTATAAACGAAATCTATAGCTAGCTTTTTCTTTGCATCAATCAATCTTAAAACGACCGAGAGCTTAGCCATTCTTATTATATAAGTCATGCTTAATCAAAATCTATCATCAAAATAATTTTCCTATCTTTTTTGCTTTCAAGTTTCTAAGCCAAAACTCAATTTAACCAATATGTGTAGAGGAAGACAGCCTCCAAAAGGATGTCTTGCTTCCAAGGTGCTTTGTAAAGTCAAATAAGTTGTAGCAAATATAAAAATTGCAAATCGTAGGAGTTCTTCCTTAGAAAACTCTAATATGTTGTAACAAATACAATAATTGCAAGTTGTAAGACTTCTTTCTTAGAAAACTAATTTGTCAAAGCCAAAGCCAAACTATGATTATTAATGAACCTGCTAGTATTCTTTGCCATGGTCAAGGCGTTCCTGTGCACAAAAAACTTTTCAAAGTCTTCAAGGATTAATGTGTTGCACGTACATATGCTTCCTCTTTTCTATCTATTATTTTCCAATGCCTTGTATGCACCAGCAATGTTAGTAAGAACATAGAAAGCTAAATGCACTACAATCTGCTCTATAACCCCATCAAAAAAAAAAAAAAAAACTTTAACTCCTTCACCTGATCCAATGCTTTAACCAACTTCGAAGAAATAATATTGTAGAGATTAGTAACTAGTATGTTGATAAAGCTTTTCATATCAGATTAACCATCAGACGAGATTGTGATTCCAATATATGTCCAAATTTTTTTAATATCCATAATTAAGTTTCTCAATGTTATTCATTCCTCCATCAATTCCTAAGTTCTAAGCTCATACACAAATGAAAGTTTAAGAACTAAACCATAGGAGCGTATAGAATCAATCATGTTGAAATATAATAGGAAAATTGTCACATTAAATGGAATAGTAATTTCAAAGAAGAATCTTTTAATGTCCGTATAAAGACACATCCGAGCCTCCCTTGCATTTTAAGGAGACATTCGATGAACTTATCTCACACTATCATCCTTACCATGCTCCATTTTCATCAAATATTAATCTCTTTTTTCACCTCTATTTGATGGTTGTGCCAAAAAATACCATGAACATTTGCCACTAAGGCCACAATTATAAAATCTACTCTATAATAAAATTGTAATTGTGTCAGCTGCTTCGATATTGTTTGATCATGTATGCATGAATCTCCTCTTTTGCCTCCTCAACCACTTTAGTACGTGTCATAAAATTCTTATGAGAATAAAAAAAATGTTTTTTCTTACTTTTGTTTTACCACATTTAATAACTTTATGACAATAGTTGGACTGCAAGTAGGAATGTCTTCTCATTCCCTCCAATTTACACTTGCATATTAATTTTTCATACCGGAGTTTTTATATTTCCAACTGAATATGAGAGATGGTGTAGAAAGAGGAGATATGATAGAGGAGGACAATTAGGAAGACAGCAATGGTGATGATGGCATTGTAGCAGGAAGGCAGCAATGTGCTGTTGAAAAGAGAGTGGAGTCAGCGAGTGGGACTATGTGAGACCTGGGGTCAAGCAGCAGGTCTATGCAACGGCCTTAGATTAAGTTTTAATGAATTGAAAAAAAATAAAATGGTGTATCAGGAACAGCCCTGAAGATCCAATGAAGCCTTCGCCTAACCCTAAAATTTGATATCTTCCTTATTGCGAAGGGGTGTGCTCAAACATGTTGAGTCACACAACTCATCAAAGATCCAATGAAGCCTTCGCCTCATGGAAAGTTTTGCCAAAACGTGTTGACATGGACCTCAAGGAGCACCTTGTACCGCACAATTTTAACTCATAAGCATACTAAGTGTACGATAAATTTGAGGATATACAATGGTTGCATTCTTGTGATGTGAAGTACCGTTATACCCTTAGAGGTGTCAATAATGACCCGAGACAGACTCAACTAAAAAAATATAGGTTTGATTTGACCTGAGTACTATATGGGCTGGGTTTTGTATAAAATGTCAACCTGCTTAATATTTTGAGTTGATTGATCTGAAAAACCAAAAATCAACCTGAAAATAACTCATTTAATTTTAGGGTCGAAAATACATCCTCGCCTTAACCAATTGATGACACTCAACAACTTATATTCGAGTTAGTTGGATTGTGTTAACACAAAAAATAGTTAGGTAAGTTAGGTTTGAGTCAAATGTGCATGTGTTGGATTCAGGTTAAACATTTTGATAGGTATAATAAATGGATTTGAATTGAGTCATGCAGTTTCAAGTTGGTCGAACTCAAATCAACTTGAATCCAACCTAACCCTATCTTTGACTAGCTCCAATATATGTTCAAGACAGCATACTACATTGTGTAGACAAAAATAAAGCTCAAGTTGTGATGAATGTAATTAAAAATCTAGAGTAAAACTAGAGCAATCAAGGACAAAAGCATTCATTCTTGTTTAAATCTAAGTTTGATGTATATTGTTGCAAAACATAGTTGTATTTTGTGGGCTATGGGATGTATAATTATAGATCTTAGCTAAAAACGTTCAACAATTTATGTCAAGTATTGTTTGCTAGCTTGTTCACTTTTCAGCATGTTACTTGTTTATTGCTTTCATATTAATTGCTTTAGAATGGCCCGGGTAATTTACATACACATAAGTCTTATGACTAAATCTTCTATAAATAATATGTCTATGAACCTAAGAAGTCAATATGGGTCGAGCTAACTCATTATGCATCCTTATGGCCAAAGTTGACCCAAAGTACTTATTTCTCTATTTTTTATAAACCTTTGTCAACAGCTATGATCCGCAAATGCAAGAAAAATCCTGAGTAAGAAATTTATTGATGAGGTTTAGCTTACATGATTAGCATCTTTAAAGTTTATTTGAGTTTTAATTAATCAACTATTTTAATTAATTGGTTCAAATTTTAATGTTAACGCCTTAATTTAAACATACTGTTAATAGAAAAAATTAATGCATTAACAATTTTCTTAAACCATAAAGATCAAGAATTGTGTTAAGCTCATAAAATTCTTTCAATGGTTCATGTTAAGTCAAAATTTTGTCCAACTAAAATAAAAATAACCCGATATAATAATTATAATATGATAAAAAATGGAATTCATCAGTCAAGACAGGCACAAAAGAGATATCTTAAAAATGGAAATAAGTAGTGGCTTCATGAAAGAAGGTATAGTTTAGATGTGATCCACCCCAACTTTGATATCTGATTAGCTAAAGACACAAAAAAATGACTAAAGCTAATGTCCTCACAATGAAAACTTCTCAGCATAAATTTTTTTTAGCTTAAGCTTCTTTAAAATGAAATGGAAAAACCAAAACCAAAGATGTCATTAACTTTTATTTTTATTTCAAGTTAAAAAAAAAGTAAGTCGTTAACTACACAACTAAGCATCACACAAGACATGGTCCGAACAAACATTTGATGGACATTTTTCCATTAAGATCTCAACTCTGAAGCATGAACAATCGTTTCTAGCAAACTTAGATGAATGGACAAGAGGTGAAAAACTGAGATGGTCAGTCAAAATCAAAACGGATAACCTCTTCCGCAAAATATCAAGGAAAGCCTCATTTGTAACTAGCGTGCTGCTTTACTCTTATCATGTAGGAACCACCATAACAAAGCAATACTTTTTTTCTAAATTTACTTGCAATACTTACCGTGAAACCACTCAGTTTGAACAGATCTAAATCATGAAATGCCTGCATTTGAATCGCAAATTACGTTCCAAATCTTTCATCGCTGCAATAAAAAATCAGAGAAGACGCATCGAGCATAAATACCTCTCACCATTAACGATCTCAAACCCCAGCCATCAATCGCTATTACAGGCTTGCGGAGCAAACCTCAAAATCTCAAATCAATATAAAAAAACAAAGCACAAAAAACAAAAAAAAAACAAGCGAAACCAAACCGTATATCTCGTCGCAAAATACCCCTCGAAACCAAACCGTCGACAGCATTAAACACGAACAACCAACAAAACAAACCCTAACACCAGCGTACAGCTCCAAAAAAACTAGCCTACTCGCGTCGCACCATCTAAGCCTCAAACCCACTAACATCATTGCATTCGAGATAAGGATCCCAGCACAATTCCTTTTCTAGGGTCTCAAAAAAAAAAGTATAGGAAGCAAAAAACGAGACTAAGATATATCAGAACAAGAACTTACCTTCTTGCAAGTCAATGGCGAAGCAAGGAAGTAGACGCAATCGGTATTAAGCTTGATGGCCTCCTCCTCCGCCGTCAGGGGTCGAGGATCACTCCGTCCGGAATCCATGCCCCCAGCTCCTCGCTGACGATAAAGAAAAAGGCAGATCTGGCGCCGAGTTCCTATTGCAGGTGAGCCCAATCAAGACGAAAACCTAGGGCTTCGAGAGTCCAATCCCCATAATCTCATACTTTGATCGAAGAAACAAGAAGGATATGGCTGAATAATTGCCGGATTAAAAAGGGGAGAAATAAAATTGGAGCAGGTATCCGTTTGAGGTCGAAATTTTTGTCGGGAAACAAACTCGTCCATCAGCACGCCTAATTTTATCTAAAAATTAAAAAAAAAAATGAAAAATTCGCCCATAATTTGAAAATATTTTCAGCATAATTTATAATTTATCATTTACTATTTAGAAAAAAAATTGCAAATTTGATTAGCTAATTTCCTTACAAATTAATATATAAATACTTGCACTTATTTTAAATATTAATTTTAAATTTTAAAATATTTTAATGATATTTTAAAATATTTGTTCTCCTGATATTCTAATTTTAAATATATATATAT